CTGCATAGGAAATGTATATTTTTAGGGCTACAAAAAAAGTATTTTCGAATTGGTAAAGTAAAATCAAAATCAAAAGAGAAGGCAATTAGGATCCTTCAAAGTCGGCTCGGAATTGAACATTAATGCAGCTTTTCAGAGCAGCCTAGATATGTGATGTCCAATGCCCAATGTGTACAAAAGGAAAAAGGTTAAATTCCAAAGAGATGTTTAGGATCATGCATTAAGTGAAACTGATAGATTTTGAAAACAGGTTTTATTCTGCAAATGGCAAATTCTTGGTTGATACTTCATAAGTTTTACTAATATTACAAACATATATTAGATAATTTAATTCTTACAAAAATAACTCTTTTTAAAAATTCTATCTATATCTGTCAGACATTATTTTGTAGATAAAGTGTGTATTAAATACTTACATCCTCATCCTCGTCCATTTTGTAGAAAATATCAAATGTTTCCTATAACACTGAAACTGTTGTATAAATGTTTATATAAAAGTGTTTTATTTATATCACTGCAAGACACTGTTACTCCATCTATGGTGTTTATAAAGAAAATGACTGATCTAGACTGGACAGGACTAGAAGTTCCCTGAGATAGGTACTGGCACGGATTTCAGGCTGCAGGCCTTTGCATAGATTCAGTTTCACGGCTAGTGCCTATCCTCCTCTAGAGTATAGAGCTAGAAACCAAGGTTTCCAACCATCCCCCCCNAGGGGGGGGGGTAAATAACCCCAATAACCCCCCTTATATCCGCCACTTGGAGGGAGGAAAGAAGAAGGATAGAGATAGGAGAGATAAGGGGACGTTTTATGCGTGTAGCGCTTTTCTGGTTTGATCATGATATTCTTTATTTATATATATTATATACATATAAATTATTTTAATACTGCAAATATTTGCCTCTCATTAATTTTATAATCCTTTTGGATTTTACCCGGGCTTTACACCCTAAAGGAATCTTCAAAATTGTGAAAAGTAGCTATACCAAGAGTATAACACAAGGAGGGGCCATGAACTAAACACGTGAATTATCAACCAGTTCTCCATCATGCTAAGCTCGTTGAAAGCTAGGGGGCCGAGCGCTGCGGCCAGGAAAGACCTCTATAATTTTTAATAAAATTAGTGTTTATTTAAGGTTAGGTTAGGTTAAGCTCATTTCTGGGCCGAGCGCTGCGGCTAGGACAGGTTAGAGGGCCGAGCCCTGCGGCCACATGTCTGGGCCGAGCGCTGCGGCCACATTTCCAATAATAATTTGCTGAAAAATAAAAAAATGGGCATTGATAGGTTCTATTTTTATGTCCATTTGAACTATTTTTTTGTTCATTTGAACTATTTCTTTGTTCATTTTATCTATTTTTTGTTCATTTGAACTATTTTTTGTCCATTTGAATTATTTTTTTGCCCATTTGAACTATTTTTATGTTCATTTGAACTATTTTTTTTGGTTATTTCAGAATATTAATAGTTCAAATAAACAATAATTCAAATGAACTGAAAATAGTTCGAATGAGCATTAAATAAACTCGTTTGAACTTTGAACTATTGTTCATTTCAACTATTCACGTAGTACCACGTGCAGTAGTTCAAACGAACAATAGTTCAAACGGGAGTAGTTCAAATGGGATAGCATCCATGATCCTCCTCTGATTCTTCTTCCATTTGTTCTAACTCCTCCCATGATTCTCTACAAGGTTTGCCTCGAAGTTTAGAAGTTGTATTTATGGTCAACAATGTTTATCATCATATTATTTTTAAGGTTCTGATGTAATAAATCAATAGATTGATCGTAAGTTTTATTGACTGTTTTTTATATATAATCAAAATAATTTAAAAGTAGTAGATTAGTTAATTTGTGATTATCTATCACATAGTTTTCTTTTAATACTGAATAAATACCTATATTTGGAACTGAAACCTATTCTGGGTCACAGAACTTTGGATAAAAATCGATGACATGATGATGATCTGATTAGATGTCATGGTTTACATATAAAACTTGCCCTTGTTGATAACGGTTGGTTATCCCAATAGGAATGGAAAAAAGTCGAGAATTCGATCCCGTTTAATCCTTTGTATTCCTGTTAAAGACTATTGCACCTTAGTATTTGGATAATATATAAAATTATCTTCATATTTGGTTACAACTTAGAACTTCAATTACTAAGATAATATGATAAAGGGTGTCCTGCGAAATGACAGTTTGTGAATAGTTTAGAATGTCTTCTTCCATAATTTTTGAAGTTGTTTGATACAGGGTGTCCCACGAAACATGACATTTAATAAATAGCTATTTTTAGTTAAACAAATCTTTTGCTTAATTATATTCTACTTTGAAATCAATTTTGATATAACATGACTCCCATATAATATTTTTATTGATCTTTGGTAACACACAACTGAATTCAAATTATGGAAAATGACATTCTAAACTATTCACCAACTGTCATGTTTAGTGGGACACCCTGTACCAAAAACAATAATACAAATATTATGTGGGAGCTCATGAATTATTGTGTAAAATTGGTTATTTTTTTGCGAAATAAACTGCAAACAGCCGTTAATATCTAATACAGTGTATGAAGGACGAATTTCATTACTATTTACCAACTATTTACCCGTATTATCTTTTCAGTTGCCCTGCTTGGAGTTTAGCTTCTACTGCCGCTCTTTCCCATAGTTGCGCGCATGAGCAATTCTAGACGGAAATTATTAAACTAAAGATTAATTGTAATGTCTCCTTGTGGGGTTTGGCTCAATTAAAAATATATTTGTTAGGAAGGACTTCATTCCACGTGAACGTTAGTCCAGTGAGCGGGGGAAGGCAGGCGGCCATGAGCCACCACTATTTCCCCTTTCGTACCACCACATTTGACTCTCCCGGGCAAAACCACTCTTTTAAATGGTATATTAAGGGCCTTTAAAGTGTGATTTTAAAAAATCCAGCCTCGTCACGCAAAAAAGCACAACTCAAACCATTTTTTCAATTCCACTTAAGATTAATATTTTGTGTGTTGAATTCTTAAACTGTTTAACAGTGAAATTTTTGACAAATTTGACTGAAATTTGCATCTTGAAATATCACAAAGTTGGTTAATGGGTGATTTCAAGATGGATTTAGTATAATGAGTCAGTAATTGAATAATGATCAGACTAGTTAAACTAATTCTCTTGTTAACTATGTCAAATATCAAGAAAGGCTTGTGCTACAACACAACACAGTATGCAATGTTTTAACGCTATACTCTCTCTACTGTGTATTGACCTCTCATTTGCCCTCCCAAAGTATTCTGGGGGTTTTATAATTAGTCGTTTGAACGGTACCACGTGTAACGTAGTTCAAGCGATAACACTGCATTTGAACTATTTTTATATACAGGGTGTCCCAATAAACATGGGAATTCAGTGACGAATTCGAAAAAGTCTTTTTAAATAATTCTTTGAATTAGTATAGTGTAAGATTTTCGTCTGCTATGTTTACAATTTGTTTGTTTATGTTTTGACTACATACGGATGTACTTAGTAAAACAAGAAAATTGCAGTATACAAACAGAGTAAACTTGTCCGTCTTCACTGTTCATCTTGCGGATACATTATTGACACATCTTTACAGTCTTTTACCCTTTTCGTAAAATAAACTCTAGCAGACATAAAAAATATTATAGCTTTTGAAATTAGGTATTACAATGCTAATTCATAACAAAGACGATATCGAATTCGTCACTTAATTCCCATGTTTTTTGGGACACCCTGTATTATAAAAATAGTTCAATTGAGCCGAAAAATTTATAGTTTAAATGGGCAAACAAAATAGTTCAAATTTAAAAGCTATAATGTTTTGGTTATATTTTGAACTTAATTGTATTGCTCATTTGAACTACTTTTTTCTCATTTTGACTATTAAATGCTTCATTTGAACTATTTGGTAATTTTAATTTTTTTTATGGCCATATGTGAAATAATTTTTTGATCATGTAAGCTGTTTTATGACGATTGTTTGACCTTGATCTTTTGATGAAATATAAAAATTTTAAACTGCATTTTTAATACAGGGTGTCCCACGAAACATGACAGTTGATGAATAGTTTAGAATGTCTTTTTCCATTATTTGTTCAGTTGTTTGATATCTAAGATCAATAAAAATATTATAATGGAGTCATGTTATATTAAAATTGATTTCAAAGTAAAATATAACTAAGCAAAAGGTTTGTTTAACTAAAAATAACTATTTATCAAATGTCATGTTTCGTGGGACACCCTGTAGTTCGAATGAGTAAATAATGTGTAGTTTGAACCACAGGAAATGATGTCATTATCAGTAGTTAGAATTCAATAGTTCAAACGGCAGTAGTTCAATTGCAGATCCACCTGAAAAAATGCAAGATTTCAAATTCCCTTAAAAGTCATCAATGCATACAGCTTTGCAAAATTTCGTTGCAATTATTGAGCAATCGGTTTACTTTTGTCATGGACTTTCCAAAGACCTATTAAATGTTGAAAACCTTTTGATACGAGTCTGACGAGTGTCCAGACAAATTCAGGATTCACTTTATTTCAATACATGATGTTCTTCAATCCTCAAGATAAAGTGAATGAACCGTGCTCTTCAAGATAGTCTCTTTTAAACGCAGCATTCTTCACCAAAGCTTTTATGGGTACCGATAAGATGAAAAATGCAACAAAATATTGGAGAGTCCACTAAAATTACATAAACATTCCCTTTTAACGTTAAATTGTAACAATCAAATTTTAAATATATTGTATGACAAGAAAGAAATTTAATAACATTGATAATATTTACTACGTCGAATGACCTCTGATCTTAAGTTGGAGACTGCAAGCAAGATTTCAGCAAACTATCTCAAGTTAAGGACTGTGAGGGGTACACACTACACATTCTCTACTAACTTTGGTGTCAAAACGTGTGCAATTGACTCCAATATATCAAAACTTCAGCCTGTTTTTTATGCATAATTTTAGATTCTCTACATTTTAACTGGTTTAAGAAATTATCGTATATTTTAATCATCATTCAATATATTTAATGAGTTATACATATGTTCATTAAAGTTATAAGTATAATTGATTGATTGGGAATGAACGTTTGTAAGTAGCGGATGAAGGATTAAAAATTAATTTGGAAGATTGAAAAATTGCGGGTAGGGGTTTAAAGATTGATTGATTGAGTGGCGGGTGGGGGGTTGAAGATTAAAAAATGTCGTGTGAGGTAGGGAAGTTTAAAAAGTGTCGTGTGAAAGATGGAAAATTGAAAAGTAGCGGTTGAGGGATGAAATATTAAAAAGAGGCGGGTGAGGTATGGAAGATTGAGTGACGGGTGAGGGACGGAAGATTGAGTGGCGGGTGAGGGACGGAAGATTGAACAGTTGAAGGAGGTGGATGGAAGAGTGAAAAGTGGCGGGTGAGCGATAAAAAATTAAAAAGTGGCGGGTGGTGGACGAAAGATTGAAAAGTGGCGGTTGGGATATGGTAAATTGAAAGGTGGCGAGTGGGGGTTTGAAAATCGAGAAGTGGCGTGGAACATTGAAAAGTGGCAGGTGAGGTCTGGAAAATGGAAAAGTGACGGGTGAGGGCTGGAACATTGAAAAGTGGCAGGTGAGGTCTGGAAGATGGAAAAGTGGCGGGTGAGGGCTGGAAGATGGAAAAGTGACGGGTGAGGGCTGGAAAATTGAAAAGCGGCAGGTGAGGTCTGGAAGATGGAAAAGTGGCAGGTAAGGTCTGGAAGCCTCACCTGCCTGGGGCCCTCTAGTCCCAGGGTGGTTCATCAAACTGTTTATCCTCAACTATACTCTTACTTCGCTTAAACCCAGGATTTGGATCCGGGGACACAGAACGTTTCTTCTCTCCTTTCTTCTCAACCTTGTCTCCGACTCCGTCCCGGAAACTTTTCTCCAGGGTTGGAGTTATCCCTGAGGTTAGGTTTACTCTTCTAGTATGGAGAGCTCGTTGGGGCGGAAGATCTAATCTCCGGGGTCCGGTGCTACTCAGAGTACTCGGAGCAGAGCTGGGAATTGGGGAGGAGAAGGATTCAGAGGAATTCTCTCCATTCATCTTTACTTTCTTTAGATTAGTCAGGTACCTGGAAGTTAAAACCATTAAGATATTATTGTATTCCTTGTAATCTTACGGATCCGGATCTTTGATCTACAATGGGAAGAAACCCAGGATTGAGATAAAATATTAATCTTATGAAAAGCAAATACGTAATTAAACTAAATCCATGTTTCATCTAAAGACGGAATATCTAAATTTTGCTTTTGATTTTTTTGCCTCAAATTTCTTTTTAAACCCTTAAACTGAGAAAGTAAAGGACTGGAACAGATCCATGCTATCAAATGCTTTGAATGAAAATGTAGATGACATAAATGTTATTTTGATGATGTATGCGTCTTTAGAAATCAGTCACAGCAAAGTTTAAGTGACATTTTTAATAAATTAAATGCTTTTCAAATACTAACTTACCCATCATAGCTAATTATAGTGTAAGATGTTCCGCCTCGTAACACCTGCATAGTGCATATTTACAAGTGTTAAATGTTTAACCATCAAATATAAAAATCGTTAAAAAGTTAATTTTTTTCAGAGAAAAATTCAATTTAAGACTTCGAATTGTAGGATTTGAAACACATTTGTTTTCTGGGCCCAATATAAGGATAATTCTAAAGTTAAGAACTTTGGAAAGAACAAAGAAAATGAACTGTCGTTGAAATATCGTGTAACCATTTATCCTATCATTAATGTAAAAGAAAATGTTGGTTTTCTAGCTTGATAAGTTTGCAATACATTTCTGATCGTTCCTAAATTGTTTTCCTACAGCAGAATTGCGCAAGTTACATTTTAAGATAAACAACAATTGAAAATTAACAGTTTTAAATCTTAAAACTTGATATCTTATTCAGACTTAATCAGACAAAGATTTTAACAGTGCTTAGAATCCAATTAATTTTGATGCGGATCCGTATCCGGATCCTGGATCCGCACTAGAAAAAAATGGATCCGGATCCGGATCCAAGTCATTTCTGACCTGGATCCAGATAACTGAATTTTTTTAGCAAAAACTAATTTTAAAATTTTTTTCGCTTATTTTTATTCTTAAACTTGATTAACCATTCAGAAATGAGGAAATTTTTATTATCTCTTTTTTCAAATGTTCAGATTTGGGTTTTAGGAGTTTTTTTGCAGTTTTTGGTTGATATTTTACTCCGGATCCAGGAAGCTAAAATCTTGCGGATCCCCGGATCCTAAGCAATGGCTTTTAAGTACTGTTTTAAATCAAACTTGTCACTCTATAAATGGAGGGTTGTTTGAAATTACGTTTCCAGACATTTTAAACTAAAAACTTTCTGTTTTTTATTGCTTTATTATTACAGGAAGTGGTGGAAAACGCCTTAATACTTCTTGTATCAAAACTTTATTGCCCTATTTTCAATCAAAACAAAGAAAAATTAACCCAATTCTGTTATCCGCCTTCCTGATTTTTTAACTATGATAATATATTCCAAATATAAAGTAAAACATGTAAAGAAGCCCCGTGTTAAATTAGAAACTCAGGATTATCGAAAAAATTCATATTTTTAACAATTTTTCCAAAAAACATTTTCACATAAAACTGTAAATATTCCTGAAGAACTGTGTTCGCGAATGTTTTCTCCCTCAGGGAGACAAAAACTGATGAATCGTTAATCCAGGAAACATTTACGCCACCAAACTGGGAGAACAGGTGAACTGAAATATACAATGATTGCTAAGAGATACATAGGCCGGAACTTTTAAGTGGGAAATCGTTAATCGATGTTAACACTCAACAGGGGTACATATTTTCTTGAAAAATCATTGTCTATTGTCTCGCAAAAAAGTTAATAATGTGAGCCCGGAGCGAAATCATTTTCGGGGGATTGTATTAAGTATTTGATATTTTAGTATGATGTTTAAGAGAAAATAAAAATATTTTAGGAATAGAAAGGATCAAAAAGTGTGAAAAAAAAACTTGACTTGGTAATTCTTGAAAATATGTAACACCGGGCCGGAATGTCCAATACAAAAGTTACCACTCTAGGTTGACTGACAATGATGAAAACGTTTGCTTAGATTAAGATTATAAGATAAAGAATAAAACGGGGAGAGGGGTAATGAGAAACCATAGAGAAGCAAGTCAAATTGGAACGAATTGAAAAAAATATAGATTTCCAAAACTTACCAACATCCGGAGTTTTCCAGTCCTTCGGTATTTCAAGATGGAAAACATGATTCCTCTCAGGAACCAGATCTTCACCAGATAGATTCATGTACGGTATATCAGAAACCTGTACAGTATAATCTAGTATATATACGGTATATCAGAAACCTGTACAGTATAATCTAATATATATACCTTTACAGTATAATCTAATATATATACGGTATATCAGATACCTGTACAGTATAATCTAATATATGTACGGTATATCAGATACCTGTACAGTATAATCTAATATATCTACGGTATATCAGATACCTGTAAAGTATAATCTAGTACATGTACGGTATATCAGAAACCTGTGCAGTATAATCTAGTATATGTACGGTATATCAGATACCTGTACAGTATAATCTAGTATATGTATGGTATATCAGATACCTGTACAGTATAATCTAGTATGTGTACGGTATATCAGATACCTGTACAGTATAATCTAGTATATATACGGTAAATGAGAAACCTGTACAGTATAATCTAGTATATGTACGGTATATCAGATACCTGTACAGTATAATCTAGTATATATACGGCAAATCAGATACCTGTACAGTATAATCTAATATATGTACGGTATATCAGATACCTGTACAGTATAATCTAGTATATGTACGGTATATCAGATACCTGTACAGTATAATCTAGTATATATACTGTTTTTAATGTATCGTACATAGTACAAAATAATTATTTACATAGCTAGGAGTTTATTCTATAATATTAATAGTTTACCTTCATTAAATACAGTTTGTTTAGGAAAGGACGTATTTCTAGAGAATCGGCGTCAACGCTAAAAAATAGATTAATTAAATTAAAATTATTTTTTTTCCCTACGGATTAATTATAAGCATTTTAATCTAATCTGCTTAATTGTTTAATCTCCTTATATTTTACAGGAAAACACAATGCCTTGCAGTTTTCTAAGAGGCAACAAAAATCTGATAGTTTATCATCGCTTTGATTTTAATAAAACTAAAACTATTTTTTTTTTTTAAATTATCAAATCTTTAAAATATAACCCTTGGAAATAAGGGAAAAAACATGTTAATACAAGATGAGATCTGCAAGGAGTTATATCTCGGGCAACGGCGAAAAGTTGAAATAAGCCAGCATTTAAAAAAATTATAATAAATTTGTTCTATTTACCCGGCAGGTTTATTTCCACACAGTTTCATTAACCTCCTAAACTCGCATTCAAATTATATCATTTAATTGAGGATTTTTAAAATGTCATTAAACAAAACTTTTAAAGCAAAGTTTTTAATATATATTATTTTAGATTTATCAAATTGTCCTTATCAAGATAATTCTTTCAACAGACTCGTTGTATTTTAAAGTGATTCCTATTTTTAAAAGTGGCATGTCCGATTCACAAATGTACCGTTCAACCCTTTATCTGATCAATAATATGGAAGATAATGTCATTTTTCTATCTTAAAAAGTGATTATTTCGAACAATTTCCTCAATTGTTTCTATAGCAGAAATTTGCAAGTCACTAAGAAAGCGAAACCACACTTGAAAATACCCAATAAAGGAGAAAAACATGGATAGCTCAATCATGCTTGGTCAGACAGTGTTTAAAGGGCACCGTTGTAAATCGAAGATTACATTTTTAATGGAGAGTCTCTATACATTACTACAGTCAACAATCCCACTAAAGCCGGGTTGTGGTAACCCTAATAATTTAAATAATATTGAAAAACTGAAAAATAAGTTACTTTTTATTTGAAGGAAAATATAGTATAGTATAGTATCGGATAATATAGTATAGTATAGTATCGGATAATATAGTATAGTATAGTATCGGATTAATTTTTCCAATAATTCAAAATACCCAGTCCCAGTAATGATCAGCAATCAATTTTAATTAAGACAAAAAATTAATTACAAAAAAAATTATTTTTGACAAAAAAATGAATTTAAGTTCCTTTGCATTGAGATGAAGCAAAGACCGGTGATAAAGGCATCATATCCGGCCTCGTGATATTTCTCTGTACCAAGGGAATACCCACATCCGGCAATCCTGAAATTATAACATTACTAGCTGAAGTGCCATCGCCGCCCATGAAAATATTTGTTTTTTAATTTTAAAAAAAATCGATTTTAAAAAATAAACTTTTTATCTTTGAAGAAAAAATGTTGAATTTCTTAAACCTTTGTTTCTCCCCGGGCACACTTGGGTTCCTTAAAAAAATTCAGCCCATTTGGTCCAGCCGTTTGGCCCTATATCTGACATTTATACAAATAAATATGAGCAAAGAGCTTTATTATTTAGGTAACAGCGCTCCTAGCGGAAAGAATTGCATTACAGATAATTATTTTCTCAACTTATTCGGATACAATCCCATTAGCTAGTTTGTAGAACAATTTTTGTTACATGTTTCGTTGTGGTTAATATACAATTATAAAAATAAAACATTCTTCTGCGGAAGTTTACAAACGAAACTAAGCACTTACTTAGAAATTATACATCGTAAAAATGTCTCAATGGTATTTTATAAATCTTCAAATGTTTCTCTAAAATAATGCTCTCGGTTCTAATATGTCACCTAGCCTATCTCCTCCTTTAAAGAATTGTTAAATGTATTATTGAGCTAGTTATTTTAAAGTAGTTAACAGAGGTGGACACTCCTGTACTGTGGATATCGAGATCAATCCTAGATCTTGATCTTTTGTTAATCTGCAGATTAGTTCAATCTTTATTCGATATACCGTGCCAACCAGTTATCCTTTGAACAGCCAATCAGAAGACAGGGAGTTTTGCATTTAACAAATGAGAAAACAGGGGAAGTGCTGAAGTAAAAATCAAGAGATCGAGCGTATTTTGCAAATAATTCAAAAGTGTCCACTGTGAATATCAAGATCAAGCGTTTGGGATTATGATCCAATGCAAAAGTTGCCAGCTCAGATTAAGTGATTAATTCAGCTTTTCTAAAACTATTTAATTTATCAACAATAAGTTAATGATAGCATGCCTACCTTTCAGTAATCTCTGGCATAACATATGGTTTCTCAGAGACTGTATTGAAGAGCTCTTTGAGAGCAGAGTTATAAATTTCATCCTTGAACGGTATTGTGTTCGCCATCAACTGTAGGTTGAACAATATATAGTTATAGTATTTATTTTCAAACACAAAATACAAAATAATAATGTATGATGATTCAGCTTAAAATAAAACACAAAAGAAACTTTATTATGAGCCAATTCAAAATATAATGTTTGATAATTTTGTTTGATCGTTTTTGTTGAAACAAAGTATACATATTGAAATCTCAACTGAATATACATTCATTGTGCATTTACAAGTAGATAATCAGTCAGCACTCAAATAATCAAAAAAATTTCAGGAATGCATTCATTAAACTTATAAATACATATTGATTAAGCAAAAGTAGAAATGTTTTCTCGTTATATATAAGATACAAGGAGGGCCGTATACTGTTTACTGGATACTGTATAAATATAAAGTTGTAATCCCTGTTTTTCTGTTTGGATGTCCAGTAACTACAGATGAACCCCTTGACCGATTTTGATTGGTGAGGAACTCGGGAGAATCACGGAAATGTTCTTATAAATTGGTTTTGAGATTCCAAGTTGAGTGGGTTAACTTTTATAGGGAAAAACAGCCGTAATTTAAGACCAAGTGCGGGTAAACGGCGGGCAAAATTATGAGTAGCCTGGGCAACGCTGAATTTTCTATTATTCGCCATAAAACACCGATTCCCAAATTTAAAAAAATAAGATCAAATATCTTTGAGATAATGATTAATTTTTCAATTTTACACGGAAAATTTCGAATTACTGATTCTCTTCTTGTATTTTAAGAACAGCATAGTAAAAATTTTATATATATTTGTACAATACTTATAGATTTAAATCGACTTGATGTTGCGGGATCTTTTATTATTCAGAAGAAAACGAAAAATAAAATAAAAAGAATTGTTTTCTTGAGTTACACAAGTATATATTGTTCCTTTGTATCAATAATGTTTGGTAGAACTGTGGAGACCATATCCTTGAAATCTGAGTATGTTGTGGGGAGAGGACTACAGAACTGGTTTAAGGTGTGGCACACATCAAGCACCATGTTGTGACCTAAATATATCACACAAATAAGCTATAAAAAAATTAAGGTTTATTTTGAGTGAAGAACTTTTCTTAAATCCATTCTTAAAAATAAAAATTAAGGGCTAGAACGTGCCTGCTCTCTTTTTTTTGTACGCACTCCTAATTTTTCCGGGGGGGGGGGGACGTATCCCCTTCTCCCCCTGTAAGCCACTTCTGTTTCACCTCTTTGGAGTTTTAAAGCTAGGGTTTCCAAATGTTTCCGGAACAATTAGGACCTGTACAGGCCTTACGCAGTGCTTAGGATCCATTTAATTTTGATGCGGATCCAGATCCTGGATTCGCACTGATAAAAATGGATCCGAATCCGGATCCAGGTGGTTTCTCTAAAATGTACTAAATTTTCAAATTTTTAGTTTTTAATTTTTTTTCATTAGTTAAGATTTGGGTTTTGAGAGTAAAAAAGTAAATTTTTGGCAGTTTTGGGTTGATATTTTCCCCCTTGAATCCGGATCTGTGGAACTGCATATTCTTGTGGAATGTGGATCCGGATCCAAGAAGCTAAAATCTTGCTGATCCAAAGGATCCGGATTCTAAGCACTGACCTTACGGAACCTTTCTAGAAGCTGTTAAGAATTATAAATCATTAAAAGCTTTTGAAATTAACGGCAGGACCTTTCTTAATCTAATTGAGAATAAATCTACCTCCTAGATGCTTCACAGAGCTGTGTGTGACATACTGAAAAATAGTTTACGAGACGATTATTCCAGATCAATTAGATATGAAATAATCGTCCCATAAACTGTTTTATATCATATATATACTGTTAACTGTATAAATTTATAATTCTTATTAGGCCTTTACGGGTCCACATTGGTCTGGAAAAAAATGGAAATATTTAAAGCCTTTTTCCATTTTCTAAAGAACCTTTATTCACATTACCTTAACGGGATTCCCTTTAGAAAATGTAACCATCAATTTATCAATAATTCGTAGTTTTACCCTTTACACCTTTTCTTTTATCAATGATTGAAATCTTTTCTCCCCACGTACATTAAGGAACCCAAACCCCAAGAATTACACAGAATTAAGTCTTTGATTGTTCTTTGGATGGTTTTATATACCTACGACCAACTTTTTAGACTGAGATATGGTTTGAATGACCCTGGAGAATCCAAAAGCATCTTCTAGATCAGACAGTTCTAATTCGTCCTAACAAAACCAGTTGTTCTTCGTAAGAAATAATGAATAGATCTAAAAGGGAACCCGACATGGAACACCCAAACCGGCCCTCAGAGCGCAGCGCATCAACATGCAGCATACATATGTAATATGTATTTTGGATAACTCAAATTTTTAAATAATAATAAAGCATCAACGCGAAAACGATAGAAGAAAATTAAGTAGGATTCAAAAATGTGAAAGCGACCTAGGGCAGTCAGAGTTGTATAATTTTTAGAACAGAAGAGAGGGGGAATTTTTAACAAAATATATACCCATAAGTAACGATTTTTAGATAAGGTTACGGAAAAAGTTTTAAAAAAGGTTACATGAGTCCAAAAGAATTCAAACAGAAATGAATTAAGAAATTACCAAAACAGGAATAAGAAAAACATGAAGAAATTAACCCACAAAATAAGAGAGAGACAAATTATGTCCGGATCAGTTTTTGTTGTCCTTTAAGGCAAGAGAAAAAATCAGGAAAGTGTTTGAAGAACAATATTCCTGTGTGCTGGCAAGTATTTTCTGTTGTTCTTCTCCTACCCTAGAGACAGATATTACTCTCTCCCCTCCTGCACGGGTCAGTCCGGACAAACTGAAAATTTAAAACATTTTTTTTTAATTCAGGGGTATGTAATAAGAGTATCGATGAACGAAACTCCCGAGTTTACTTTTAGATTTAACCGAGAGTTAACCTTTGTGTAGATTTTGATTTAAGATTCGAAAATAATTGGAGAATATAAAGAAATTAAATATAATAAAATTTCATAACAAAAATCAATGTCTACAAAACTGCCCAACCCCATTCGTGAAACCCTGGTTCTAAAACTGGGTTTTTATAACGATACTCTGTCTTAAGTTTTGGGCTCGGGGGGATGATTTTCGATGCCCTGGGGAAGAAAATGAAATTTTGACATCAGAAGGCAAGTTTTTCCCCCTAATTAATTTTGATACTTTTTATCCAGAAATTTATTTATTTTCTTTCAAAAAAATACTTATTTTCCTCTGTTCATAAAACTTAAAAAAAAAATATCTGAAATCTAGGAAAAATAAAGATTTGCAAAGGGAGTGAGCTAATTGAAGGAATTATAAATTCCTAAATTGATTTATAACACATTAATATTCAATTCTTTAGCTGCTGTTTACCAGGAGTAGAAAATAATAGAAACCAGCTGAACTACTTGTCTACCTTAATCGACCAAAAGTGCAAAAAAGAGTATTAGTTAAACTTGTAGTAACTAGTTCCAACCTCTTCAATTTTTATCAAGAAATCCAAAACTTATTCAAAGCTAAAACATACATTAAAAGTTTTTAGGTGTTGAATTTAAATAAAACGTAATTTCTAAAAATTATTTTTATTTTTTTCTCACCTTAGTCCAGGATATTTTTCTCTAGCTGTTTGATAGATTAATCTTCTTTGAAACGCATTTGCTCTGAACAAAATTATTATTTGTTTGAGAAATTCTGTGTGGTGTGTGTCAAGACAAAATTTTTTAAAAAATGGATTCGGGTTTATTTCCATTTTACTTCGCTTTGAAAAAAAAAGTTTTGCTTCAACTTACTTTAAAATATAAAAACCAATTTTGAATCGGTGCTCAGGATCTATTTAATTTTGGAAAACCCAAATCTGAAGTTTTGAAAAGTTATTATAGATTATAAAAAAAAAATTCCAGTGCGGATCCAGGATCCGGATCCAGCTCATGTCTTTCCTGATTTACTGATTTTTTTTAAAACAAAAAATAATTTTCAAATTTTTTGTTTTATTTTTTCGCATATTTTTATCCTAAAACTTGATAAACCATTCAGAAATGAGGAAATTTTTAAAATCTCTATAATAATATTTCAAAAGTTCAGATATGGGTTATAGGAGTAAAAAAGTTTTTTTTTGCAGTTTTTGGTTGATATTTTACCCCTTTGATCCGGATATTTTGCGGAGCCAAAATCTTGAGGAACCAACGGATCCGGATCCTTAGCACTGGATTGAACCCCCCCCCCCCAAAAAAATAAAAAAAGTTTTATTTCAGTAAGACGAATCAAAAAAATAGAAAATCTTTAAAAAATATATTGATCTTGTTGTAAAGATTTTTTTTAAGTATTGAAAGGTAAGCAAAACGTATATAAGAAAAGACCGGAATTGCTTAGATAATGAAACCAGACTGGGTCCATCTTTAACTTTAATTGATGCTCTTTTATCGAATTTTATTCGCGGGTTTTAAAAAATCTAAATTTTTTTATGGCACACTCTTTCAATTCTAATCATTTCTAACCTTTCCTGGGGTTATATGAGGTCCAACACAAAATTTGGGCCCAATTGAATCTGACGTTTTGACAAACAAACAAACACCAGTACAGACAAGCAAAGTATTAATATAGAAGGCATTACCTGTCAAGTTCTAAATTAGGTTCAGAGCTGTTAAGAAATTTGAGCAACTTGGAACATATATCTTTCAAGAACCCTTGCTGTTCAGCAGGTACAGCTGGAAACAAAATATTTCATAATTTCAATATTTTTAAAGAATCCATCAAAAAAGTTATTGCGTTCCAAACATTACATTTTATTCCTTGTAACTGGGAATGTTTGCACGGAGTGGATTTTTCATCTCTGCCTTGGGGGAAAAATGTATTTGGGGGGGGGGGGGGAATATTTAAAAATTTCGTTCTCCACCAACATAAAAATAATCTTCAAAAATCTTGTTTTAAACTTTATTTCCCAGCAATTTAAAAGTAAAATTTAATAAATATGAAGGTTTGAATCGTACCGTTGTCAATCAAATTATATTTGAACTTTAATAAATAAGATTTATTTTCAGTGAAGTGAAAGTGTGATAAAACTATTTTTAAAATCTACCGATATCTGTCTATACTAAAACACCAATATCTATTAAAACTTACTAATATTCTGTTCTGGAGTCATATTATTTCTCCTGTACTCCTGGCGATCTTGAACCTGAACACGTAACTTCTCTAAACCAAACCAAACCATTTATTTTATTTAAGATGCAACAATTTTGTTTTTATAAACTTTTTAGAGCTTATGGGGAAATTAAATATATTAGGTAAGATCCGACTGTTGATGGTAAGTTAGAAAGGCAGATTACAAGGCAGATAAGACTACATCCATAGACGTCCAATCGTTCACTAGAAAAAACATCTGAAAATCATGCACTACAGAAAAATCTTTTTTCAACACGCATTTATAAGTAGTAAAAGCATAAGTATAAGCATTTAATGTTCATGATCGCATTGACGAAGAATTGGGTTATTATATTATTTTTCCGAAGGGGGGATTTTAACAAAATATACTAGTTTGTTTGCCTAGTTCTGCTGGTCTGAGGTAGGATATCCCATCCTTGAAGAGTTTATTGAAATCAAAATCTTGAGAAATCAAGAAATCCAGACTAGAGGTCTGACACAAGAATCTAAATATAAACAAAAATATAAAAACTCAGAAACATTGTTTTTTAAATCTCTTATAAACAATTTTAAAAATCTTATCGTTTTCGTAGCTTGGAAATTGAGTTTAATTCTCACAATTTTCTTTATTGCTTCTGTTGCAAGAAATCCGCAAGTCGCCTTTTTAAAGAAACCACAAATGAAAATACGCATTTTTTTTAGAAAGATCACAAATAATTCTTTTATCGTGATTAGACAAAGCTTTTACTGTGACCGTAGTAAATCTGATGTCCCATAGATTGGAACGAAAAACGAACAATCAAACACCCAAACAAACAAACAAACAATTTTGTGGTAATAATGTAAAAAAAATATGTCTACCTTGTATCTGGTGCCTGCCTGCTGTAGGGTCTAGGCCATACATAGAAATTATATGCTTGGTTCGAATAACTGTCTAATATATTTCAGTTTAAATTATTAACATTTTTGACGATAAAAGTGTTATTCTAGATAAAGTAAAATTACAAATTTCTTTTTAGTTTTTTATTAAATCTAGAAAAAAAATTTGTCCTTTGTCTTTTTGGACCCAAAAAATATTAAGTTTGACCAAAAAAGGTGAGAAAACGGCTTGCCTTATTTTGGTATTCTAGACAATTAAGAAAAAAGTATAAATTGTGAATTAGAAAAGATTTATTATTCCTCATGAACCCCTTGACCGATTCGCCTAAAATTTTAATTTTTAGAGTTGATGTAAAATTCTAAGATGAGTGGGTTGACTTTTACAGGGGAAAATCCAGGCAAAGCTGGGTTTCCCAATTAAATATTGATGTAGATATATTTTGAAATATTTCTGAAATATATTTTGTAACTAATGTTTATAAGGAGAACGACAGGAGATTACAGTTCACTGAATAAACAAGATTACTGCTCATGCTTAATGTATGAACAATGTACATTGTACTATTTAATAATAAATAAACATTATAATATCTTCCTAGTGAGTTAATGGGTACAACTTGGGAACGTTACTATTCTGCGTCCCCAACATTTTTGATGGAACATAAATTCTCATTATTATCATTATTATTATCCTACCTGTAGTTTCTCATATCTATTTACTATCCTACCTGTAGTTTCTCATATCTATTTATTATCCTACCTGTAGTTTCTCATATCTATTTATTATCCTACCTGTAGTTTCTCATATCTATTTATTATCCTACCTGTAGTTTCTCATATCTATTTATTATCCTACCTGTAGTTTCTCATATCTATTTACTATCCTACCTGTAGCTTTTCATATCTATTTATTATCCTACCTGTAGCTTCTCATATCTATTTACTATCCTACCTGTAGTTTCTCATATCTATTTACTTTCCTACCTGTAGTTTCTCATACCTATTTATTATCCTACCTGTAGTTTCTCATACCTATTTATTATCCTAGCTGTAATTTCGCATATCTATTTATTATCCTACATGTAGTTTCTCATATCTATTTATTATCCTACCTGTAGTTTCTCATATCTATTTATTACCGTACCTGTAGTTTCGCATATCTATTTATTATCATACCTGTAGTTTCTCATATCTATTTATTATCCTTCCTGTAGTTTCTCATATCTATTTATTATCCTACCTGTAGTTTCTCATATCTATTTATTAACGTACCTGTAGTTTCTCATATCTATTTATTATCCTACCTGTAGTTTCTTATATCTATTTATTATCCTACCTGTAGTTTCTCATATCTATTTATTATCCAACCTGTAGTTTCTCATATCTATTTACTATCCTACCTGTAGTTTCTTTATTTATTATCCTACCTGTAGTTTCTCATATCTATGTTCTGGTAGATCAAAGGCGGAAATTCCTCTGTAAGCGTTCAAACCTTAACAAAATGGACGAATTCAATTTGTGTATCCACTCTACAGATAGTGTTTAAATCGTTTAGGTTCGCTTTTTCTTCATTTTTGCATACATTTTCTTTCAAGGTCAAAATTTGGCATAGTTTAAGAAAGCAAATGTTTTCAACATGGTTTGTTTTAAACATTTGCTACAGTGATAATCAGAAAACTCTGGAACAGGAATTCGGCTTTTAAACTCAAGATATGAATTTTAATAGCGCTAAATGCAATTCAGAAATGCTATAATGTCGTCTTCCTGTTCCACAGTTTTCTGGTTGTGACTGTATATAATATTACACTATGCCCTGTGAGAAAAGATATGCAAAATACGAACAAAAACGAAATTACTAAAACAATTTTTTGGTTCTTTTGTCATTATTTTAAAATAAAGATTTTTTAACGTTTAATACAAGGCTAAGGCACAAACTTAACCTATACTTTGTCCGAATTTTAATTCGTCATTAAATTCTCATCCTTTTTGGGTAACCCTGCATAAAAACTGATATAAACCCTTTAACTCGCTGTGCTCGCCTTTACCTGTGAATTCTCCATCTATGCAGATAAAAGAAGATTTATTGATTGATTCTTCGATCTCAGGCAGCAGGCTCTTGAAGTTATGCTTTGTTACGTCCATTTTCCGACTAAAAACAATAATTCCAATAATAATAATTATCTATATATACGATTTTTACTCCTGAATCCGTCCTGTGAAAAAACTGGATCAAGATTGAACTCATTAGTATTAGATAAGTTTCTTAGTAATACGTAAGTGTTTATTTTTTTCTCACCAGCTTACAGGCTGAACCTTAATTTAACTAAGGTTTAGTTTTAACCAAAAGTTTCGATTTCTAATTCCTATTTTTGGAGACTATATAACCAAGCAAACTAACCAACACTGCCAGTTCTTAAAATATTAAAAGAATTTAGCAACAATGCGTAATTTTGACCATTGTCCGAATTTAATAAATTTAAGCCGCGTCTGAAATCCACAAAAAACTGGTTTCGATTGAGCGCCGGCTTAAATCTTGAAACATTAAATACAATTTTAAGTGAAACCAACAATATTTAAGCCGCGGCTTAAATTCTTTAAATTCAGCCTCAGGTCCAATCCACAACAGAACCCTTAAAACCTTTATTTGATCAATAATTTGATCGTAATTTAGTTTTGAAAAGTATAAGTTTCAATTATGATAATTCCTCCAACGTTCTGCACACCAATAGAAAATAATCAACTTTCTAACAGAAAAATATAGATATCTGTACAATAGTTGACCAGACAAGGCTTTTTAGTGTACTGATGTTAATCGAATATTAACAGGTCAAGGAGCACTAGAAACTAGGTCTTAAGTGCCTTTAACAAGGTTTCAGATTCTAATGTAAACGTTACTGTCCGATTAAAAGTGTCCACACTGGATATTGAGATCTACTTAGCGGAATTATGAGTATTCAAGTTGCCATCTCTAGGCATATGGGAGAATGATTTCTTTAAAACAAATATATCCCTCTGTTACTTTTCAAGTGTACGTGAGTGTTTGTTTAACACCGTTTCGAGTTCACATTCACTACTGCGAAAAGTTTAGGGCAATGCCACACCTATAAATGCTTTAGACCTTGACAACAAAATAAAAAGTTTCAATTTCATGAAAAATCATTCTTTCGTTACATTTAAAAAAAATTTAAATACTTTAAAAAATAGTCTGCTAAGAATGTTCTGAAGAAGTAAATAATAAATTTAATCCATAGATTTGTTTTCTTTCAAATTAATTTTAGCATTCGTAAAATATTAAATTTAGTATCCAGTGTAAAATGAAGATAGTAGATAATAGAAGTCTACTGCAAGATTCAAGTTATGTTTGTAAATAGTTCAATAGTCATAAAATACAGCTGTGAAGTGTGTATTGTTCACAGAGCCAGTTTACTTAAAAAAGCCACCGAACTATGTTTTGTAGCAACATCAAATTCACAAGATTCAATAAACGTCGTTTTCCTATTCCATTCTTTTTGGACTCAATGTAAAGATTTAAAGAAAACTGAACATATGATAAACATCAACTTCATAAGCACTGTTATTTTCTACTAAAACGGAATAAAAATAATAATTCATTTTAACACCGGCAAAGCCAACCCGATGAAAGATAAGACATTATTAAGGATGTGTTAAAAATACAGGATGAACCAAAACAAACTAGTTCTCATCAACTCATAATATTCTATGGGCTCAAAAATATATAAAAGCGTAATTTCTAATAACCCTCCATTAAACGTTGGCATTGCTAGATTTACAACGTTACCCTTGATCAAAACTGTGGAAGATATCCAAGATTTTCAGACTGTGTTAATAGTTCTAAGAATTTCTCAATTGTTTCTTATAAACAAGAAATGCGAAAGTCACTTCACAGAGAAACAGCAAATGAAAAAAATAACAAGTTTAAAAACAAAAATATCGATATCCGATTCATACTTGATCAAACAAAAAGCGTTCAATGGTATCGTTGTAAATCGGGCAATGCCGTCTCGAGCACAGAAATATGATTTATTAAATATTCCTTTAAATCCATAAAACCTGGGTTGTCTCAATGTTAGAAAAATTAACGTAAAAACTTTTAAGGCTTCAATTTGGTTCTTAAAATGTCAAATGGCAGTGTGCGCGTAAATTTAAGCGACCCTCCATGCAAAGATGACCTTGCCCGATTTACAGAAGTACCCTTGGAATCTTTGCTAAATCAACAGTATCTTGTCCTTTTTTTAGTTCAGCGTTGAATTCTAATGTTTCCCATTTGTTTCCTCGCTTTCACTTTCAATAAAAATAACTTTTTAAAATTGAAATAAATTATTATCAATAATCAGACACAGCTTTCAAGGGTGCCGTTGTGATTCGGACATTGCAATCTTATTGCAATAGAGTGTAGCTTTAAATTACGCTGAAAGATTCTACGTGCCTTGAGCAATATTACAACGAAGTCTTAAAACCAATCATTTCCATATATTCTATACCTGTGTCGATATTTCGCAACGAGGGCGAATAGTTTTAAAGGATTGAAACGGCCATTGTTTACCATAAATATGATAGTGATACAATCTGAAACCAAGAAGGAACTGTGAAACATTCGAGAATTCAAGTTTTATTTCGATAACGTGTTAACAGATAAAATTCAGATGGTAAATGAGCCAATAGAAGTCTAATAAAATCAGACAAATAATATCTTAGGTCTGATTCAGGCCAATATATCTGCAGACATTTATCGAAGCTTGAATCCATCCAAGCATCTTAAATATCCAGCTTATGCCTTCTTTGCTGCCTGCTTGGTGATCTGGGCCTAGAAACAGACAAAATCAGATTCAGATTATAGGATTAAAAATGTACTATGTCCTGATTTCGATGCTCTGGGAAAACGCACTTTTGAACCCAAAAATTAATTTATTTTTCCTAGTTCAGCGAAGAAACAAGGGGAAAGTTTTATTGTTCAAGAAAATGTATAACCTATAACCCTGTAGACATTTTATTGATAAAAATAATCTTAAAATATTTTGAAGCTTTAATTTATATAATTTCGAGATCATAAAAAAGTTACAACTGTCTAAAAACATTACTTCCATTCCGAGAATCCAATAAAATACAAAAATAAAACTGAACTAAAAATAAATAATTAAAATAAATAATAACTTAATTCACCTTGGTGAGATTGTGCTTCTTGGCGAACTTGAGGTTCTTTAAGAACTTGGGATCACATCCTGAACCAAAATCAAATCAAATCAAATCAAATCAAATCAAATCAAATCAAATCAAATCAAATCAAATCAAATCAAATCAAATCAAATCAAATTTTTAGGGTTGCATGCCAGATTTTCACAATAGTTCCAAACATTATCCGAGTACCAGTGTGGTAAAAATCGTCGGTTTTCTTATCTTCATAAAAATATTGAATTCCTTCTTTTTCTCTGTTGTCTAATTCCGCAAATAACTTTTACTGAGAAAAGATAACATTTTAAATTTAATGGTACCATTACAAATCGGGACATGCAACTCAGAATGGAGAGTCACTCAAATATATAGGTCTTATAATTTAAACCTAATAAATGAAAACTAACGTCTGGAGTTAAAACAGTTGTTAAGTTATTTTTATTAACAAACTAAATGTTTTCTAAATTAAACGTGATACCTAGTCTGGTTGTGGTTGGTGTGATTCTTGGACTTGGCCATCTTAGCAACTTATCTGAAATATTAGATTACAATATTAGTTCCTTTTGAAGGCACTTCACAAATTCATCCCCAATAGCTTTTCCCATTGCTGGTGGAACTACGTTCCATATTTCCTTAGGCTTGTCCTCGATCTTATCCTTGCAGTGAAGGTATCTCTGGAATCCCTGAGATCTAACCAACTCTCGGGCGGAACAGATCCTGTTCTGATCAGGTTGCAGGGAAGGAAGGATGGGAAGAAAGGGAAGAATGGAAAGATGGAAAGGATTAAGATACGGACAAGATGGAAAGGCTGAAGATGGAAAGGACGAAGATGCCGTTATGAACCCATTTGATGGGTTTTTCTTTTGTCGCTCCGAATAACGGACGAGAGCCTGCAGTGAAGGTATCTCGGAATCCCTGAGATCTAACGAACTCTCGGACGGAACTGATCCTGTTCTGATCAGGTTGCAGGGAAGGAAGGATGGGAAGAAAGGGAAGAATGTGAAGGAAGGAAAGTATGGGAAGAAAGGAAAGAATGGAAAGATGGAAAGGATGAAGATGGTAAGGAGTAGCTAGAAAGGCTTGAAGATGGCAAGGACGAAGATGGCAAGGACGAAGATGGCAAGGACGAAGATGGCAAGGACGAAGATGGCAAGGACGAAGATGGAAATGACGAAGAAAAGAAAGGATATGAAGGAAGAGAAAAATGGAGGGAAAGGTGGAATGAATGAAGGGTTGGAAGTCTAACGTCGGGCACAAGACCAAATTTAGCCATTCCACCGGTCCAATGTCGGCTAATTGCCGAAAAATTCTTCAGATTGGCATCATTTCTTGGGACAGGAACCTCGCAACAACTAAATTATAAATATTCAGATAAAAAGTTTTAAAAAATAATATTTTTTGTATGAAGTGATGAATTATAAGACAATATTTGGTCAACATGGAAGATTCAGTTGACGAAAAATATTAAATCATCCTTTTTAAACAACGAGAGTTTCAAATTGGAACTATTCGAAAAAAATAAATCTTGACTCAATTTGTACTTCAGCTAGGGGAGGGATTCTCAATCTACTTATTAAATATTTCAATTCATGGTTCATGTATGTGGAATACGTATTTCAGATTGAAAATGTCAACAGACAAAAAATATATATAAGGGCGATCAGATCGAAAACAACAATTGGTGATTATTATTGTCGAGAATTTACCCTGTTCAGAAAATTGATAAATAATAAAGAATTGAATAATATTGCGATAACCAATAAATATCGGGATGACTCGAGTCTTTACATTTATTTTCATGCAGAAATACCGCTCTAAATTAATTTGCATTATGAAGAGTTTCAACCAAAGAAATTTAAGAAGTCTCTGGGTATGAATTGATACGCAGTAGAGTACATTAATACAGTATGTTCCCTAGACTATCCATTTCAATTTCGAATTTTTTAAAGCTGTTAAATAAACTTTATAATGAATTAGGTGAATGAACAAAATCATTCGATTTATAGTTATAATGGAAAATCATCGTTTGTAAAGTGAAGGCATAGAGTTTATGTAAAATGATCATTGGTCAATTATGAAACCATCCTATTTCATAATTTGGTTCTTTTAATATTTACTTTAGATTTTCTATAAAAAGATATTCCAGGGCCAAAAAGGTTATATAGCATAAATATGTGAAGTACACCTGCAGTATTAAAACATTAAAACAAAATGGCCGTTTTACACTTTTTTCTAGTAAATTCCCCTCTAATATATATTCTATTCTCTTTGGTTTCAACAGACTTGACAAATTGCTTGGGATCACATCCTGAACCACAATCAAATCAAATCTTTAAATATACAGAGTATATATCTACCGATGTGTACCGAAATATTTCGACTGTAATTGTCAAAAATATTAAAAACATTTTTCAATTAATCTCAAATTGTAAAATGTGGACTCACCCTTCTTAGACATGTGCCTCATGGTAGAAGGCTTCCTCAGACCATTCCTGTGGGCCTTTCTAAACAAATGGACTTGAAATCTTGGATCAGGGCAGGGACATCCCAGGCAGACAGGTAATCAAGAAATCTTTCATAAATACTGGCATTCCTAGCATCTCAACACTAGCTTTACCAACGTAGCATAGAAGAGGCTCATTGTCACAAGTATCCAGACGGAAAATTTCAGCTGGATCTCCAGTTTCTCCTAGGACAGTATCCACTCCAAGGGCAAACCAACGGACATGGGCCATCAATGTTTTCTTATCATTCTGTATCCTCTGCTCCAGGATCCAGCATTATATTGTCTCCAGGAACAATAACATCTCCGTCAATTTCAGTTTTTTTTTGCAGTCTTCTTCGATCCATTTACAGTTCTCCTTCTTCCCCTTGGACTTGACCTGAGCCTTGGATAAAGATTTCTTTGTTTCTTTAGCCGGTTTAACTTCACTGTCTTTCTGGGTTCTTTTCCTCAGCCATCTGTTCTTTAAAAAAACCCTCAAAAACAAGCTGAAAAAGTGGAGTAACCATGACGAATTCAAACTTAGGTCCTGGGACTTCTTTTGCTCTACTACAAGCTTAGAGGACTTCTTTATACTGGCTTTCTGAGCACCACAGCGAGTTCACAAATTCTCTAAATGAGAGGAGAGTCCATGTACTTAATTTCATCAGCATCACCGGCCATCTGGTAACTAAGGATCTGGGCCTTCAATGTTTTCGTATCATTCTGTATCCTCTGCTCCAGGATCCAGCATTATATCGTCTCCAGGAACAATAATATCTCCATTGATCTAAGCTCTTTTGCAGTCTTCTTCGATCCATTTACAGTTCTCCTTCTTCCCCTTGGACTTGACCTGAGCCTTGGTTGAAGATTTCTTCGTTTCTTTAGCCGGTTTAACTTCACTACCTTCCTGGGTTCTTTTCCTCAGCCATCTGTTCTTTAAAAAAAAAACCTCAAATACAAGCCAAAAAAGTGAGGTAATCATTGTGGATTCGAAATTAGGTTTCTGGGACTTCTTTTTCTCTACTACAAGCTTAGAGGACTTCTTTATACTGGCTTTCTGAACCCCACGGTGAGTTCACAAATTCTCTAAATGAGAGGAGAATCCATGTACTTCATTTCATCAGCATCCCCGGCCTGCTGGTAACTAAGGATCTGGCTGACGAGGAACTCTACGTGTTTAATAACAAGCGCAAACCAACTGACATGGGCCATCAGATTGGCATAATTTCTTTGGTCAGTAACCTCGCAGCAACCTAATTATAAATATCAAATCAAATGAAGAATATATCTACCATGTGTATTAAAATATTTCGACTGTAATTGTCAGAAATATTATCAATATTTTAAAATAGATCTCAATTTGTAAAATGACGTCTCACCCTTCTTGGACATGTGCCTCACGGTAGAAGGCTTCCTCAGACCATTCCTGTGGGCCTTTCTAAACAAATGAACTATTCAAAACATGGCTCAATGTATAAAAAAGCTGCAGTTTTTTGGAAGTTAAAAAGTTAATGTTTAAAATGTCACTAAAATAACAAATTACCGTTTCAAGTTTTTAATACAACAAAATGATTGGAGACCCAGTCATCGGTCATCCGTATAACGTCGCCGCCATCTTACCGCATACAGATTGAAGTTCGTATGTTTTCTGAACCACAAACAAAATCACCTTAAAATTAAAAACATTTTACACATTTTACTGAACTGTATGTAGGCAAGAGCAAATATTTATGTTTTCTAGAATCCTTTTCAAGAAACCAAAAATATTCTTCTAGAAATTCTTAAGACATTTGTTTACAAAAGTTATTTGCCCAAGAAAATGAAAATGCCCGTCGCAAATTTGATGTTATTAGTTGATAAATGATCCGCATATTTTTGGGGATCCGGATCCAGGAAACAGTAGCGGATGGATTCAACGGATCCGGATCCTAAGCACTGAATTTACATAACTCTGCTAAGAGGCCAGAGTTGAAACTTAAGAATGGTGGATATCAAGAATAATGCTTAAACTCTTGGTTTTAATAAACCCAAGATTCGATATCCAAGAAAGAAGTCAAAAATTTAATTAATCAGTGAGTCATGTTAAGATGTACTCTTTAACTTTTAAAAACCCGGTTTTGAATTCTTTTGTTGATGGTGTCATATCACTTGAACTAAACATCGATTGAACAAACGTAAGTCTTGGAATAAAGTGTATTGAAACTAACGTCCAAAGTTACAGTAGTCCTAAAATGTTTAATAATCTCATATTAACATGATTAAATTAATATTTGCTTAAATGCTCTAAAAGCACGCTTGTGAACAGCTGACTTTAATCCAATCGGATATTAGTCCGATCGATATAGCAATTTATTTGTAATTGTTATCAAACGTAACTTTTATTCAGTAGAACTATCCAATAAGAGGATTATAAGAAGAAAATCAGCAGTGCATTGATACTCAGATTAAGCGATCGCGATTAAGGATATCTCATTCTAAAGTTTTTAGCTCTGGACACTATTCACAGAACTAAAAATTGTAAAATATTTAGCGGCGACTTGAGAGTAAAATAAAGCGGTGACTTAATTCAGTGAGTAAAATAAACTATTAAGTAATTAAATGGTTGGTTTAAATTATCACATTATTAAAGGGATATGAAGTCATTTGAAGTAAACCTCCAATTAGAGATGGCAATGCCCGATTCACAGCGGTAACCTTAACTGTTTTATTGATATTTAGTATAAATTGAACATCACTGTTTATATAACAGATTATTTACATCAGTGGTTTTACAAGACTGCCAAGCGCATTACTACTTGAGGAAAACGTCGGAATATCTTCCATATTTCATAAAAAGGTTTGAATATTCAAGGGTACCGTTGTAAATCGGGCACCATCACATTTATGCTCACTTGAACTTGCTTCCAGTCCCTGTATCTCCGGTATTTAGTTAGGACAAGCTTAAGGGGTGAAAAAAGGTATTGATAAGGGATTTAAAGGGTGTGTAGGATCGAACTTACCTTTAATTATTTACCAATATACCGTTTAGATTCTTACTCTAAGGCATCCTCTCTGAAATATGGTTAATCAAAACCGGGAAGTGAAACATTCCTCTCCAACAGAATAAAAAATACACCAGGGTGACCCCAGGTGTAAAATAAGCTAGAGACTGGTCAACTTCTCCCTGCATCTCGAATACACCAGGGGGACAAGACAGGAGTAGATAGAGAGGGTTTAGAACTGGATCATCTGTCCCTTTCTCTTTTTCTCTCCTCCCAACTCGAAATGCTTGGTCCTCTTGATGGGGATCTAGGAGAATAAAATTACACTACAATATATTCTGAACAAACTAAAATGAAGCTGACGTTGATTGAATCAGTTGAAGTATTTCAACAACATTGTTCAGTTGACGAAAAATATATTTAACATCATGTATTTATATTAAAGATAATAACGTTTTGAACTAGATTAATAGAAAATTGGCCTTGCTCCTGGGAGAACGTTTAACCCCTAACTATAATCTTTAAAAATGTTTCTGCATTGCTATATTTTAGCTGGAGCAAGTATTTTGTAGTGCCCATCAATGATTTTAGGAGAATATTATCAGAAAGTCTTGAAACTGGTAAATTTAAGTTCAGTACTAAATTATTTAACATTCCCCCCCCCCTTTCTAGAGAAATCTTAAGAATAGAGATATTTCTTAAATCTAACCTGATGCTTCCACTTGCACTGAGAGCACTCAATCCTCAAAACCAACTTCTTGGTGGTCTTGGCCTTACGCCTGAGGATGGGCTTGGATTGACCTCCGAAACCCTGCTGCTTACGATCGTACCTATACAGGACATGATTTATAATAATATTAGGTTACACATAATTTGTTTAAAATTAATTAAAAAAAAGTCAGCTCTCATAATCTTAGCACAGGAAGCGGTTCCATTACTATCCGTTAAAGGAATTGCTAAGCGGTAGATCCGGTAGATTAGTCTGAATTGAGTTACGGCACAAACCGTCCCGGTGATTGTGCTTCATTTGCCGGCCAGGGGATATTCCAGCCGGAGAACCGTAACCTCGACCCAGAACGGGCGTCTCAGGCCATAATAAATACGGTTCCCGGTAATACAGGTTTCTTATAACCCCCCACGGAGTGTTACTCCGTCCCCCTGCTAGAGGGTTAAGTTGACCCTTCTCTCAGACCTTCCCAAGAGCACTCCGACCTTTGCAAGCGCGCAGGTCATCTGCGCTCCTAGACCAGGTTTACTGAATCTACTCGCTAACTTCCTCTAACGGGTTCACAGACGCTTTTAGCTTTCAGATTTATCATCATTTGAATAATTTGGTCCGACAAAGGAAAGGAAATACAGCGCAACAAATGCCTTTAAACGTATTTAAAATCATTAGACACTAGACACTAAGACAGGGGTACAGTATATTATTTAGAAAAGTCGTCAGAAAATAATGTATCCCTCAAAAGTTACACAAGTTTGTGCGGAGTGCAATGGTAATGGTGCAGAGTAGAAAAAGAACAAAGGCATTGTAGAATCTCTAATTCCTTTCCTGAAGTTATTTATAATATAATTTAACAAACCTCCTTCTACCTTGAGCCTGCTTGCTCTCAGCAGACTTCTTGTACTGGGTCACCTTAGTAAATCAGAATTTTATCATGTACAATTATGCACTGAATTCAGTACTTAGAATTTTTTATCAGACATGTAGAAATATCTGCAGTACATCTTATGTTCAGATGACGAAAAATGTATAAACATCATAATTTAAAAGGAATGAACTCTCGTGCACATGTAGCATTGGTTTACTGAGCACATATTAATCATTTTGACCCCCCTCCCCCCTTAAAGAAAAACAATAGCATTTCTAATATCAATCTTAATAAAAGCAAGTTTTGAAGCTCAAGAATGAAATAAAATTAATTTTTGGGTCGAGCTATTTAACGTTCTATACCTGGGTCCGTCCTAGTGAACGATTTTTGAACCCCCCCTCTCTCCTATCAATTTAGTACATTTATTCATTATTATTTAGGGTTAGGTTAGGTTATAACACTTTCTGGGCCGAGCGCTGCGGCTAGGTTTTATGACTCGAGCGCTGCGACTGGAACAGACTAGGGGGCCGAGCGCCGCGGCCCCATAATTAATAATATCTATGTGTTATATGAGATCTATGTACAAATTTAATACAGGGGCAGGGGCCAAAATCAATGTCTAGGAAATTACCCCACTTTTCACCGAAAAACCCCGAGAGCTCTTCACAAGTATTCCAAATATCTAAAAGTGTGTACCCTAATAAATATTCTATTCAGAGTTCATTACGTAATATTATACAGTCCGCCTGTAGATTTTATTTACCTTCATCTTCTGGTGCTTGTTGCACTTAGCACAGTAGGTGTTACGGGCCTTCGGAATGTTCACCATCTTTCTGAAATTATACATAATTGCAAAAGTAATCATTTAACAATTTTCGTTAAATGTTTAAAACAGTGCAAGTGTAAAGATCTTTAAAAAACCGTTGTCAAACTTGTAGTCTTATCATTTTAATTTAAAAAATCATTAAACTTGAAAATAAAATCATTTGATTTCGCCACTTTCGATTCAATTTTTCCGTTTCTCTGGTCTTGCAGTCTACACGTGCGTACGAAGTGTAGATTATTTGAGATTTGTGCACGGCATTCTCATTCAAGATATATCGTCTTCGTTCTCCCAGACTAGGGTTAAGACGGATGTTTTCGATACTAGGGTTTATCGAAACATTGTCAAACTGGTAATGAATTCACAGCATAATTGTTCAATACTACTTTAAAAAATGGGGTTCACAAGTTTATTTAACTTTTAGGTTCATTTTTTTACTTGAGACTTTTTCTGTAGAGGTTCTCTTCTCTGCAGTTGGTTGCAGTTAAAATCAGCTGATCTTTGCGTGAGCTCTAAAAGTGGTTTTTCTGATGAAATGTCTGTCCTGAGAGCTACTGACGTATACTTACGCTCGGGGGTTGAGGTAAAATAGTAAATTATTTCAGTGTGGAAGGTTTTACAGATTTTACAGGGTAGGATCTCATCAACATGTTAGAATTGTTATTATGCGCTCTCGTACAGAAAGTATTTAGCAACAGTAGTTCTCATGAGTATCAAGCTGAACAAATTAAAGAGGTATTATCATTATTATCTTCATTTTCCTTACTAATAGTATCCTAGCCTTTTTGGATAAAATGTTCATCATTTTCTTTAATAAAATGTCTTTAACGTTTAATAATTATTTAAGCCATCATGTACTTTCCATCTTCCTAGTTGTATCCAGGCCCGTAACCAGGGGTGTGTGCAAGGGTACAGGTGCAGCCCCCTTTCTTCTGAAAGGGGGGTGCAATGACGAATTTCCACCCCCCCCCCAGCCCCCCCCC